AAAATACTCAAAATAAAGTGCATTGTATGCATTGGTTATATTAGTGGGGAAAGTTAAGTAACTTTTGTTGAGCCTAAATGTCCATCTGACAAGTACATCTTCACAGACAAATATATTTTAATACATTTTCAGCCCTTGTTTCCTTGAGACGAGTTGTTTTAAAGAATAATACTGACTTCTCATACTCGGCTAATTCTGAAATAGTGGTTTTCATTCATGTAAAAAATCTATTAATATGGCATGCATATACGTGACTACCAACCCTATTAGGTTAGGTTTTACAGATTATTTTATAAATGTGATTCATACACGTTTCTCTCCAAGTAAAAACAATGAATGTATTTTGTTGAATTATGCCAATATTGAGGAGAACAGAGAAAGGAGGCCCACCAGGTTTAAAAATAGAAAATCCAAGTCATCCTGTTCATCTGGGACCAGAGAGATAATTTTATTGTAGGTTTTCCATCTTTATTTTCACTTGATTTATTCTGTTGACGTTCTAGTGATAATTCCAGTGTTTGTCACCAGATGGCACTGCAATGACATTAGCTTGTAACCACTCTTACTGCCCGAGTACTAGCACAATGAGGTCATCCTCAGATAACTACAAAGTATGCATCACTTCTTCGGATTGCATTAAGCACTTTTTTCTCCACACCGTTACGTTTACACCATCCGGCTTGCTGGCACAGCTATGACAGCTAGTGTTTTTCATATTCTTAGCCAATTTAACTTTGTAAGAAAAGTTAAATTAAGAAGACCAAAACCTACCTTAAGCTTAATTTGTCCAGGTATTGCCATGAGTAATACCGCAGGCAAATGCTGTCTTTTATGGCAAAAGATGAAGAGCAGCAGCAGCTCCCACCTGTGTCAGGTCATGCACAGAGGTGTGCCTCACCTCCCAGGCCCTGCACTTCTGAAAAAGCATCCCAACCTCAGACCATCAATCACTGCCTACTGCACTCCCTACTTTTTCAGTGCAGAATTTCATACTTTCCCTTGTTTCTCTCCTCCTCCCACATGGAGCAGCCCCCTCCATGCCCTAATTTGCCTTTCAGTTCTAGTGCTCCCTGATACATTCTGTCATGATCTACCACTGTAGCTTGAGTTACAAGTACTGATCCTAACCGTGACTCTGCAGATTCAAGGAAGTAAAAAGCAATAAACCAGTCCCAAGATGTGTTGAGCAGTAAGCCACAGTTGCCTCTGTTGAGAAGCTGCCTTTAGCACTAATACAGCTGTCACCACTGGAGTGCTGTTATCTGAGCAATCACTTTGAAGTTGTTCAATGGTAAATACAAATAGTTGGGGTTATTTGCAGATCAAGATGTTTAGCATTTACAAGTTTGCAGCATAAAAAGCTCTCATGACTTTGTTTTAGAGTTCTGATGCCTCCCTGATTTTCAGCAGAATCCTGATATTTGGAAGAGAATTAATGCTACAATAGAGAAAATTAAGAGCTAGAACAGTTGCCGCTGACTGTGTCTCATATGGCGCATGGCTGGATGGTATGTGTTTTGGAAATACACTCAAATCTCTTGACAGCATTGACACTTTCGCGTACACCAAACAGAACCTTTCTCTGTAGCAGACAAAATTAAAAATACTGGTGATTTCACAGCTCTGCTCCTGTTTTCTGCCACGGAAATGTTCTTGTCCTTAGGGGAATAGTGATTGTACTACAGACAGTTGTGCATATGCAGAATATTGTATTTATGCTAATAAATTTAAATACACAGCCATTTGCAAGATCACAATCCAAGGCTATACATGAATCAGAAAAGGGAGCCTGGTAGTACATGTAAAGGCAATCTATTACTAATACAAGAAGTTGTGATGTTTTTAAGGTCTTGAAATAAATTCCAGGCCAAAACAAACTTTGGGGTTTGTTTTGTACAAAATTAGGGTTGTCTGTTGTGGCCATTTGAATGACAAGTTGAATAAATTCAGGCTTCCAAAAAAACCCCCTCAAGAATTATAGAGTGAAAGCAAATTACTATGTGATCATAACTATTATTCCACCAGTCTCCTGAAATTACTTTCATGTAGTTCAGCTACATGGAAAGTATTAAATACCAAACTTATGGAGAGTGGCTGGAACAGTCTAGCAGAACTCCTCCCCTGATACGAGTTGCAATTAGTAAATCATAAAAATTGAAGTGGATGTTTATAACAGAAGGAAAGCATTGGAACAAGAACTTCAATGGATCCGTTTTGTCTCCTTTCAAAACATTTTTTTGTTAACTGGTGTCAGTGGCAAGGTGTAGCAATCATCGAGCCTTAAAGCCTCTGGGCAGTTAGGTAGGAGATGAACTGTCTGGGGTTGTCCTGATGAATGAGTAAAATGTGAAATAATACATTGTAAATGAAGGTGAGGAAGTGATTGAGCATAGGAAGTATCAGGTTCTTTTTGTACATCACCCTAAAATGTTTGACTGTAAGGCATGTGCAAATTGTTCCTGCTCAACAAAGTTTAAAAACAGTGCAAGTATGTGCATTATGTATCTGAGTCTGACTAATGAAGGTAAGCTGTGGATGCATCAGCATATGAAATATGTATTTCTCCTTTTTTGCAGATATATTCATAATTTTATTGTTTCTGGAAGTTGGAATTTTATTGATCTATTTTACTGGACTATCATTTATGATTCAGATGTTGCTACAGCTAAGGAAAGGTAAGAATATGTAATTTGTAAACACTCCTTGCTCCTCCTATTTACTTTTTTATAGTACACAGGAAATCATGGTGAAATGGTTGTAGCTTTTATTACTAACCTGCTTTGGAAAGTTGTGTCTGAAAACCATGGCAATTTTATTACACAGCATTGGCAATAACTTAACAAGCAGACTACTACACATCTCCCTTTTCCCATCTAAGCTTTCACTCTCTACAATGTATAGTCACACCATTTCTAACGTATACTTCACTCCCTTTATGTGCTTACCAGTTTTAAAAAGCTACTGGTTTGCTGTAAGTCATTCCTTTTTTGTCTTAACCCTTGTTATTGAATCCTAAATACACTACAAACCATAGCTCTTTGGATCAAGGTGTCTAAGCTTTAGGGATGCTATATTGCTAGCCTCATACCTCCCTCATGTATCTACACTGCCTGACTTCCTGCCTTTGCTCTGAATGGATACCCTTCCCTTACTGTTTTTATTTTCTGATTTTCAGAGGTTTAAATCTGAGTTCAGTTCAATGCCCTACACCCATGCGTCTGCTTCACAAACAGGTGGGCTGATAAAGTAATATATGCTGTCAGGGAGCTCATGTTTTCTCCAGATCCTGGTACAAGTGCAGAGATAGGATGAAAGGGGCTGAGATCTTTCTTGTGCCTCAAATGGAAAAACAAGACAGAGGAACTTAAATACTTCCCAATGGACAGGGAAATGCCTAAGCAAAGGATTCATGCCTGTTGTAGGATTGACTTTTTCTTGACATTGCTTTTTCAAAAGAACAGTAGATGCCATGCATTAGCTGAAGTTACTATTAATCACATGAGATTGTCTGGACTATTTCAGTGCTATAGTTGTATTAATAAAACAAATAATACAGTTATTTTCTCCTGAAGTCTTGCTCTGTTGTCTAGGAGTTCGCTGCATGATGCAAAGCTACATGGGCACCTGAAGCACTCAGGCTGCTATGGTAATAAGCCAAGAACTCATTATTATCAGGCCTTCTATGAGACCCCAGGCAAACTGATGAGCTCCTTTGAGAAACCATGTGCTTGTTCAAGTACTGGTTGAAGCGCACCAATCAAACCAAGCAACCGGGCATCTGGCAGGCGAGGCGAGAAAACCGTAGTCTTGTGCTGCAGATGAGAGACACGTAGCCTTCAAGAAAGGGTGCCCAAGGAAGGAAACATTTGACATCACACCTCTCCAAAGAAAGTCATCACCTTTATAGTGAAAGCTGTTGCCCTGTAAGAAATTGTTCTGTGAGAATCATACAATCTTTGGGTTGGAAGGGACCTTTTAAGGTCATCTAGTCCAACGCCTCTGCAGTGAACAGGGACATCTTCAACTAGAGCAGGTTGCTCAAGGCCTCTCTCCACTCAGATTTGTCTCCCACATCTCACTCTGTGATCGCTTTTCCTTCGCTGTCGGCAGGTCCTCCCTCTCGTCTCCAGGGCCATTCCGCAGTGCTCGGGCGTTCCTTCCCTCGGGCTCTTCCCCTGCAGCTGCCTCAGCACCTCCCGTGTCATGCCTGCCTCTCTCTCCCGCACTGACCAGACACCGCGCCAGGGCACCCCGCCTGCCCGCCTTTCCCTCAAGGGAGGCGGCAGCAAGGGGTTCTTCTGTATGGGGACGGACTGTGGCAGAGCTCGCAGGATCTGGACGCTCCCGAGACCACTGCTCTAATCCAATATGGTTGCTTTTGCGGCTGCTCTCCCTGCGCGCGGGTCAGGCACCGAGGGAGCCGAGTAAGCAAGAAGCAGCAAGGAAGCTTCTGGGCGGGTTATCCTCTCAGTACAGCCCGCTGGTTCGCATCTGTCTCTGCAGACGCAAAGTCCGATCTCTCGCAGTTTGAGGCAGGCTCGCGCGCACGCCAGGGCCGAAAGAGCGCAGTAAGTCTAACGACAGGCGGGGCGCGATGGCCCCGCAGACCTCCCCCCTCCCCCCACCAGCGGTCTCACCGCCGCGCACGGCGGCGCATGCGTGGACCCCTCCCCGCGCCCAGCAGCGAGAAGGGGCAGTGGCGGGGAAGGCAGCGCGGGTGATGGTGGGCGGGGCTTTCCTCAGGGACGTTACAACTCGTCGAGGTTTGCAGCGGCGCCATTTTGAATTGGCTGAGGGACGGGGGGGGGGTTGCGGAAGCGGGGTCCGCGGTGCCC